TGCAGACCGCGCGCTTACGTGCTGCAGAAGTCGGGTAGTGCATATTTCAGCCGGAGATAATAATGAGTTTAAAGGTCCCTCAAACAGAGATAGGGAGCATGCAGTTCATGTTTGTAGGTCCCTCAAACAGAGCTAGGGAGCATGCAGTGCATGTTTGTGGGTTTATCAAACAGAGCTAGGGAGCATGCAGTGCCTGTTTGTAGGTCCCTCAAACAGAGGTAGGGAGCATGCAGTGCATGTTTGTAGGTCCCTCAAACAGAGATAGGGAGCATGCAGTGCATGTTTGTAGCTCCCTCAAACAGAGGTAGGGAGCATGCAGTGCTTGTTTGTGAGTCTATCAAACAGTGGTAGGGAGCATGCAGTGCATGTTTGTAGGTCCCTCAAACAGAGGTAGGGAGCATACAGTGCATGTTTGTAGGTCCCTCAAACAGAGGTAGGGAGCATACAGTGCATGTTTGTAGGTCCCTCAAACAGAGGTAGGGAGCATACAGTGCATGTTTGTAGGTCCCTTAAACAGAGGTAGGGAGCATACAGTGCATGTTTGTAGATCCATCAAACAGAGGTAAGGAGCATACAGTGCATGTTTGTAGATCCATCAAACAGAGGTAGGGAGCATACAGTGCATGTCTGTAGGCACTGACAGTTACAATTTAAAAAAAAAAAAGGCCGTGCGCTTGTGAAGGACTTGCACATGATGCTAGAATCATATTAGACCATTTGGCACTCAGTGTGTCATGTGCTCAGTCAGTATCACGTCGACGTTCTATGCTTCCCAGGATATTAATTCGTATCTCCCCGTGTAAGGTCTAGGGCCCAATTGTGGGGAAAACAAGAACAGACCCACTTCCTCCCTAACAAGGATGTCGTAAGAGTCGATTAACTGGGGGCTTCTATGGAAGTCGGAATGCATCTTGCCTGAGAGGCCTGGGAACCAACAGTCTACATACAAATAAGTCAGATTTGTAAAACGGATATGCACGCAAGACTCCGGTTCAAGAACAAGTCTTAAGTCCAGAGGTAGACGAAAAACCAGAATTTTCCGCCGGAGTTTACAGCCGATGAATACAAAGAAGAAAGAAAAAGACTTCGTACCCAATTTTTTGGATAGGTCAACATGGAAGCGAACTTTGAAGAATAAAATTACCTTCAATGCAGATTCGAGCACAGACCTTCATGTCCGCAAGTGGGCATCGACTACACCACGGTGGCCCAGGCTAAGCATTGTGACTTGTGGTAACCTCGAAGAGAAGCGGCTATTTAAATTTTAGGCTTTTATGTAGGAGACCCGGATTCAAAACCTCGGTGAGATGTATTTATTTTGTTCTGTCGGGCGCAAAAATGAAATCATAACCTGCACAGTCAGTGGCGACAGCATAAGCAACGCGGCCCTAAATCCCTAGGCTCACCCCTCCCTGCCCCCTTTCCGCCACCACAGATGAGGTAGCCCAAGTGAGTCTTCAGAAAGGACTTTCCATACTTTCCTGTCCTGTACAATCTCAGTATGGTTTTTCATGTCAGAGTTGCATTAATTAGTTCACTTTCCATCTTTCGTCGTCCGTGTGGTTTTTGGGCACACCTTCTTTATCTTTCCCTCTGGTGTCCAAGTGAGAGCCATTTTGGCAGGAATATCAGAATTCATTCTAATAACGTGGCCAAGCTATTTCCATCTTCTCTTGATTATACTGTCTGGAGTTTCTTGGTTTGTGACTTGCAGTAGTGTAATGTTTGAGATTGTGAGACAGATTATATCGTAATGTAAAGTGATTAGAGAGGTCCGACATTGATTGGAAAATTTGATTTTAACCGTACAGCTGGTGAAAAAGGAGCAAGAGGGAGGTTTAACACACAAATACAGAGACGGCTTGGCCATAAGGATTGTCGAGACAAGAGCAATGACCCAATCCGTGATGCTCGTGATTGTGTGAAATGACGAAACACGTCTGCCTGCACAGATCAGCAACGCACACGTTGGTGATATTTCATGTTGATAAAAAAGGAAAACATGTGTTCTACAGCTATTCGTAAAGTAAATATTTGTTGTATGTAGGTAATTAATCGCTCGTAACACGCTATACATATGTTAGCTGCGTTATCAACATAAGTAGTTGATCATTCACAAAGTATAGGCAAACACACGCTCCACTTTTAAACGTATTTGTCTTTTCGTTATCCGTGTAACGAAATGATCTTTAAGCTAAAGTTTACGTTTGACTAGAGTCATTTGTTGCACATTCAGCTGAATGTTATTGTTCAGTAAACACATTGCTGACTTCTGAAGTATGTGTTTTATTTAAATTTCTACACTGCTCGCTCTGACGATTATTTACAGCCAGGTGTTCTGTTTGTCATTTACCTTTATGTACGTCTTTTTAGCCTTCTCTCTAACTACCGGCCTTCCTACCCTTTTACCTACCTGCCTACCTACCTAGCTAGCTAGCTACCTGCCAACCTTCCTAGCTACCAACTCGCCCACCTAGCTATCTACCTACCTGCCTACCTGTCTAGTTACCTACCTGCCTACCTACCTACCTACATGCCTAGCTACCTACCTACCTGCCTAGCTACCTACCTACCTGCCTACCTAATTAACGACTTAGCTACCCACCCATCTACCTATTAACTGTTCACACCGTTCTGCCTTTTTAGACGAAAATATTATATTGCCCTTTATGTAGGCTTGGAAATCACAGCCCGTGGTGATGGCGAGTGTGACTAGACAGACTCGCTGGCATTAAGAAAAGTCTACCATATTTGGAACAAGGTTGCCATACCATACATTTAATGTGCTTGTTTTTAGAGTACAGCTTTTAACCAGTCTGCAAACATGTCTTCTTTATCTCTATTTCCTACCTGAGTTCCCCCCCCCCCCCCCCCCTACCCCCCATTTCCACTCCAAGCAACACAGTCTGCAGCATCCTGTTCTCGCGACTCAATCTCAATACACGTATCATTCATGTCCTAATTGCACACGTATTTATATCGTAATAGTTGTCTACCTCGAAATTTACTCATCAGTAATTCATCATAGTGGATACCCTTAGAGACTCTTGTTTTTCTTCATCCTTCAAGTGTGACTTAGCCATCTCAAGTAGGGCTGTACCGAATAGTGATTTTCACTATTTGGCCGAATACCAATAACGGGACCAACTATTCGGTCGAATACGAATACGAATAGTGTATCATCATCATGAGGTGCCTTGGCGAGTGGCGTGGGCGATCATGCCTCGCCACAATCTGCGATCTCCTACAGCGTGTAATAGTTAGTGTGCTGACACACCTCCATGCCATGCAACAAGACTGTCAAGAATCTTCCCTCTTTGTTTTCCTCTATCCCTCCTTCCACAGATCTTTCCAGTGGTCACCACATGTTCCATTTATCCTCTTCTCATAACATGGCCGAAAAATGATGACTGTCTCATTCTGTTGTCTGTGATTAGTTGTAATCGGGCTCCCGCCTCTTTCAAAACCTTATGATTGCTTTTTTTTTTTTTTTTTTATTTTTTTGTTCACTGTTAAGTATCTTTATGCCTTCTTCAATTTATAGGCGACATTTCTTGATTTTCGCCGCGGCACCCCTGGCATACGCACCCAGTTTGAGAACCTCTGCTGTAATGCATCGGTCGAGTCAGCAGGCAAAGACCTTGCAAGCTGCTGTACTACGCAACTGGATCCCAGTTTCCCCCGCTACGACAGACTTGGGCAACAGCAACTGTTGTGTTAATGAAAGAGTTATTTCAGTGTATGCAGAAACGGGTGTAAGGTAACCACTACTCGTATTCGGCCCGACCGCAAGTATTCGGCCGAATACCAAATATTTATTAGGTATACTATTCGGCCCCGAAGCGAATACAAAGCGAATATTCGGTTCATCCCTTATCTCAACCATCTAAGACTGAACATTGAGACAAGAGTTCTAATACCTGCTCTTTCCAACACACCAGTTTTATCTTATCCATCTATTTACCTATCTACTCACTATCTGGTTATCTATCTGTATGTTAGCTAATCAGTCCTTTTTAAGTGCTGACACTTCGAAATGTATGTCTGTGCATCCCTTTGTTAGCATGTATACCTGTCAGCCCGTTTGCGTGTTTATCATTATCTCTTACCCGTTGATTGCTATTGTCAAAACATCACATAATACTACCGGGTTTCCCCCACTCTGCTAAGATCGTTAGTAGATCAGACCCCAGCCGGAAAACAAGTAAGTCTCCTCGGATTTTTACTTGGCAGATTACCTTTCAACCTCTTCCTCGGAACCGTTCTTCCAGGACGGCTATGCAACAGAGCTTTCGAAGTTGGTACATTTGTATAAATCTGGTACTGTTTTACCCTTGCCGAGCAGATCTGTACTTTTGGTACTACACCCCATGTTTGGGTACCTTTTGTACATTTTGCATCAATATCCTTAATGTTGATACGCTGGATCAAATACATGTTAATAAAGGAAGACTGACGTTTTATATACAGGCGTTTCGGTTTAATGACTGTAAATATTTTGAATTGAATTAATTGTGTACAGTAATTAAATGTGTGTATTATATCAATTGGGAGTCGCCGTGGCGGAGTGAATTTATGATCATTTTACTTATACGCAAGTGTCTCATCCTAATACTGTTAACAATTTAACCAGTAGAACTGATTGTGAATAGAGCTATAGTGTGGAAAACAGTACCCGGAATAAGACAAGCTATATCTGTAAATGTGGCATTAACTTTCTAGACAGTGATAACAAAAATAGGAATGGCAATATTTAAAAAAAAGTAATTATTAAAAATGCATCCTCTATTCGTGTATGTTGTGTGTGTGTGTGTGTGTGCGTGTGCCTGTGTGTGTGTTTGAAGATATTTTAATATCTTTATTCCCCCCCCCCCCCCCCAAAAAAAAAAAAAAAATATTTCTTTTGGTGTGTTTTAGTACCCTGTAAAAAATAGTTGGTACCAACAAAAAAGAATAATTTCGGCAGCCTTGATCTACAATAGTAAAAAAAAATGTCTTACCTGTGACGTAGAGCTCAACCACGTGACGCAGCAGCTTCTTGCTGATGCTGATCTGGCACTCGTACTCCCCAGAGTCGTATGACGTCACGCCCTCTATAACCAGATCCCACTGTCTGTTTTTGTGATCTACATAGATCCGAGCATCATCTATCCAGGTAGTGGCTCCTATAGTCAGCGGGTTGGTGTTGGGAACTTTCCGCCAGACAACCTGAAGAAAGGGATTCAAAGCGATCGTCAAATCTCAAGATAAACACGTGGAAACAATGCTGCAAACTTTACAGCTGTTGTGGGATTTAAATCACGGTTTCAAAAAATGTCTATTGTAAACAGAGGAGCCGCCATTGTGGATGTTTCGAGCATGCATGCCTGCCAAGATGTTGAACCGGGTTTAATCCCCACTGGAGGCATATTTATTTGGGGATAGTACGATTCTCGGGGGGGGGGGGGGGGGAAAAGGGGGGGGGGGGGTGTCTTGTCGACATGCCTCCTCCTTAGTGTTTCTTTTATTTATCAGTTCATACAAGGGTATTCTCAATCCTAATTATGCCAAGCTGTTGAGAGTTTCTTCTCCTTATTACTCTTCTTAGCGTGTTCGCCACCTCTAAACTATGTCGAAAAGCTCTGGTTGTTCGCCCACTTCTGGATTTTAGTCTTGTTCAGAACCTGAGTTTTGCGTACACGTTCATTTTACAGATCTGGCTTATTAATATGCAGACCGTTGGTTCTTTGCCTCTCGGGGAGATGCACTCTGACTTTTAAGAAAACATCCATAATTAAACGATTTTTACAAATACTTGCTAGGGGGTAGTGGGTCTATTCTATTCCCCACCCCCTCCCGCCCCACAATGAGGCCATAGAACCCACGCGAATACACAAACATTGATTTACTTACAGTTCTTTCTCCGAGGTGTTTCACCGAGCAGTACAGCCTGGCTTTCTCCCCTCTCCTGTGTGTAACCTTGGCAGGCCCGGGCTCAAACTCGGGTTCTCGGTATCGGATGGCAGGAATTGATAAACACACTGTAGGACACAATAAAATTTGCCGTTAGTCATATAACAGAATTTCATGAGAAATAAAATGTACCGTTGATAAAGTATCAGGGTTTAATGACTGTTTGATCTCATTAAGATTTATATTTTTCTTTTCTGGTGGTTTTGGCTAATCTTATATGATGTGTTGAGACAGGGAGTGTTGATTATTGTATAGTAAATGTGATCTCTTGTTGTTTGTCCTATTACCCGTTTGAGGATATAACCTAGGTTACTGTAAGCACAAGCGCACAATAAAACCTGTACTATAAGAGCACTGAGCAAAGTGTATTATTGTAAAGAGTGATCGTCAGGCGTTTTTTTCCCCCCACAAAAAAAAAAAAAAAAACGGTTTCGGTACCGTTCAAAAAATGTTAACAAAGAAAAAGGTGTTCATCGCAAAATGTCTCATACAATAGTGCTTAAATAAATATGAAACTTAAAAAATGCCAACATTGTGTAAAATGCCTTAGTCATCGTCATCTGCCACTTGTGGCACAAATCTGCTCCAAAGGTTACGAGGAAAGACTAGTTGGCAATCATTGTAAGATGGGCCTGCGTGCCCTACTTGCGACCCTCTGAAAATTAAGTTCATATTTCGTCCCTCCCAGCTTTAGATAATATAACTGGTGATAGAGAGGGACACAATTTATTGAAATGTTCCCTCTGGAAATAGAAATATTTCCAGAGCGCTATTGTGTGTGGGGGGGGGGGGTAAGGGGGTGGGGGGTAAGGGACAAGCAAAGATCCACTTCCTCCATTCTAAACATGTCGTAAGAGTTGACTAATTGGGCTTTTATCGAAGTCGGTGTATCTGCATGAGAAGTAAAGAGGCAACAGTCTGCACGCAAACAAACTGGACTTTAAAACGGATAAATATGCAAAACTCAAATTCTGGGAAAATAATGATTTCAAGAAGTGGAAGAACAATCAGAACTTTCCCCCGGAGTTTACAGCCGGTGAACACGTAGCAAATAAAACAAAATATGAGAAGGGCGGTCAGCTACACACAAGAACAACGCTGCCTATTGTAGTAGTAGTACTTTTACCGCACCAAGACATCACACAAGCAATAAACACCCGATGACACAAAGTGCCACCACGTGGATGAGGATCACCGGTGGAGGGGTCCCAGAAAACCGCGTTCAGCCATTAGGCCATATTAATGGCCGAGCTATATTGCGGCACCTGGCACGAGCCAGGGTAGGGCTTCAAAATAACGAAAAAGTTGCTTTCAACAAGGGGACAACTAAGGTAAAATAAAACTCTGCGCATGACAGCATTCGGTTACCAGTCAAGGTATCCATTTTGTGTATTCCTTGTCATAAAAAACGTTGTTCCCTGCCTGATTGAATTCAATTTGAAAAAAAAAAAAAAAAGTATTTGCGCCAACCCCCATCCACACCTGTTTCGTTTCACCTGTTGGCTTTTATACGTTTCGATAAACTTTGCCACATTTCCCGCTGAAAAAGAAACTGTTTGAGTTTTTGCTTTAGAATAGGCTAATCCAGAAGTTATCTTCCTTTTATTTTCAGGGAAGGTGTCGCTCCTACCTCCCCTCACATGTACATAATTTTATTCGCTCTCATAAATCTGTTAAAAGCGCCGAGAGCCTCGGTTTGATCATAACCAGTAGTGGCTAAATGTCGCTTTATTGATTTCCTTAGGTGGTTGAGCTGTGATGTATTTCTTGGCGAGAGGCGCTTACACAAAGACATATTTTGGTGGGAGCTTGGGGATGGTCAGGTCAGGTCTGGTTTAAAAAAACAAACAATTAGTAATAATAATAATAATGTTGATGATGATAATAATAACAATAATAATAATAGTTATAATAATAATAATAATAATAATAATAATAATAAATAATAATAATAATAATAAATAATAATAATGTGCAGAATGGCAAATTAAAGGAATGAGAAAAAGTATGATTGGTACAAACAAAACTGGGCTAGTTCGATGTTTGTCTCCCCATTTACTCACTCTTACACACTAGCTCACTTCTGGTTGGTTTACCTTCAGCCTAGCTCACTTCTGATTTGTCGACCTTGAGCCATGCTACCTTGCCTCAAAGTGACGGGGGTTTTCCGCAATACCGTGACATCGCGTCTTCTATATTTCTTCACGGCAGCGCTTTTAACACTCCAAACACATGGACACGCTGGGTCTAATATGGTATGGTGTCACAAGGCATTCTCTCTAAGTGATCAAACCATTTCACTTGCTGTCTTTGTATGTAATCCAGAATTGGTTCTGTGCCGACTTGTTCTCTTATGATCTCATTCCTGATCTTATCTCTTATGGTAACTCCTACAGCCCTTCTCAGACATCTCATTTCCGTGGTTACTAATTTTCTTTTATGGTTTGTTGTGAGTGACCATGTCTGGCACTGGTAGCACAGAGTTGGAATAAATATGCTTTGAATAAGATGTCTCCTTGTGCTGATTGGGATTGTCTTATGCTGTAAGAGGGGTGCTAGCTGTCCCAATACTTGGTTTGCTTTACTGCATCTAATGTCAATTTCTTTATCCAATTTCCCATCTTCGGTAAATGTAGTTCCCAGATATTTAAACTCAGATGCCTGTTTAATGCCTTTGTATTCTATTGCTATGTTTAGATCTGTCTTCTTTTTTCCTATTGACATTACTTCTGTCTTTTCAGTGTTGATTCTCATATTATTTGTTTTACATTCTTCATTCATGGATGTTAGATGTTGTTGCAATTTCATGGCTGTATCTGATATCAAGGCCTGGTCATCTGCAAAGAGTAATTCGTTGATCTTACTAAGATCTTCATTCATGGGCTTGACATTCTTGCATATGCTGTCGATGTAGGTGATAAACAGCAGTGGTGATAAGACACATCCCTGTCTTACTCCAGATGTCACTGTGAAAGGATGAGATGTTCCCTGATTTATTCTAACTACACTTCTACAATCCCTGAATAAACTTTTGCACACTTCGATGAGGTGTTTGCTTACTCCATATCTTGCCATTATTTTCCATAGTAATTGTCTGTCGACTCTGTCAAATGTCTTCTCCTGGTCTACGAATGCCACAAATAAGTTCTTATTGTATTCAATGTTCTTTTCTATTAACTGTTTAAGTGTGAAGATTGCATCTGTGCAGCTTCTATTTCTCCTAAATCATATCTGTTCTTCTGCCAGCTGTGGTTCTATCACTGGCCTGTCTTGTTTCTATTATCTTGGCATACATTTTGCCAACATGGCTTAAAAGAGAGATGCCTCGATATTGACCGCATTCTCGTTTGCTTCCTTTGTTCTTCCACAATGGTATAACCATTGCATGTTGCCAATCAATAGGGGCCGTTTGTTGTACCCATGCTGCACTGAATATTCTGTGAAGCCACCTGATGCTGCTTTCACCTGCTGCTTGAATTATTTCTGTTGGTAATATATCAGCTCCTGGTGCTTTATATTTCGGAGACTGTTTAATGACTTTTTCTATTTCATCCATTAGTATGTGTGGTTCTAACACTGTTGCTCTGTGCTCTTCAGTTGTTCTTTCCTGATGATCTCCTAGAGGTTTAAAGAGCTCATTGAAGTATTCCCTCCATCTTTCTGCTATCTCGAGTGGATCTATCAATGGCCTTCCTGTCTTATCATTAATTATTTCCGTGGGGTTGTAGCTCTCATCTCTTTTCCGCATATTTTTAACTACTTTGAAAAATTTTCTGCTGGCTGTTTTCTCATTTTCTGCTAGTGACTCACCGAAACGTTCCCAGGATGCTTGTTTTGCTTTCTTGACACTCCTGTTGGTTTCTCTCCTTTGCAGTCCATAGTTTATATAATATTCTTCTTTCTTTGATTTTATCCACTGTTTATATAAGTCTTTTTTCTTTTTAATTGCTTCTTTTACTTCTTCGCACCACCAAGGTGAATATTTGTTATTTCCCCGTCTGTTTCCACTCTTCCGTTTTCCACATAATTCTTCTGCAATACTAAGCATAGTGTTTTTATATATACTACATTCTTCCTCAATATTGCCAACTACATGTGGAAGTTGTTTGAATGCTGTCTCTACTTTCTGTTGTAGCTGTTCTTTTCCTCCTTCCTGTTTCAGATTTGCTATCTTGATGAGATCCTTGTTTTTGTTTAATTTCTTTCAGTGTTTCTTTAATGTAAGATGTTTTGCTGTTAACACAACTATTTTATGGTCAGTGTCACATAGACCATTAGGGATTGCTCTTGAATCAAGAATTCTCCTTCTTCCTTGAACTCTGGTAAGTATAAAGTCAATCTGGCTCTTGATGGAGACATCATTCCATTTGTACCAAGTGTAAAGTTGTGAATCTCTATGGTCAAAGAATGTGTTCGTAATAAAAAGATTGTGCTGGCTGCATAGATCCAATATTCTTTGACCATTTTCATTTCTGTCACTGTTCTTAGCTGCATATGGACCTAAAAACTGTTCGTATTCTCTTCTGTTATTTCCTACCCTCCCGTTGAAGTCCCCAAGTACATATAGTATGCTGCTTCCCTCAACTTTCGTTATCTCATGCGACAGATCGTCAAAGAATTTATCTTTCTGCTCTTCTGTATAATTATCATTGCATGGGGCATATATCTGTTTATATGTTTCAGCTTGTTCTCCTCTTTTAATTTTCAAAGTAATAATTCTATCTGAGTGATAATGTGTGTCTAATATGTAGTTAGATATGCCCGGATGTACCAGGAAACCCACTCCATTCTTCGATGTTTCTCCTCCTGCATATGTTAGTAAGTAGCCTCTGTGTATTTTCTTATTAATATTTCCCTTGCGTCTTATGTCAGCTAGCCCCATTAACTTGATTTTCCTTTTTTTCCATCATTTCAATAATCTCTTCTGTTTTATTTCCCAGGCCAGCGGTGTTAAGTGTTGCAATCTTGTATTTCGCTGTTCTGTCTCGAAGTCCCTGAACATTGCCATGGTCAGATACCGTTTGATCAGTCCGTTTATATCTCCTTTTGATTTATGAAGCAGTAATAA